CTGAAGACTTCTCTACATGCATCTTGCCTCACACACACAGAGCAAGAGTCTCCTCTTACAAAGACCTGTGCGTTTGTCTAATTCACAGTTCTCAGTCGTCATCCTGGCTTTGAGTGTGGGTTCTGGAAACTCCCTGCAGCTGAGATAGATGCCACTCACCAGATGGACCTAGAAAAGTTCTGGGGCCAGGGCGTGTGTCCTTGGCATGTCTGAGAACAGGGATAGACATGCTAATCTAGGAGCCACAGAGGGGCCAGAAAGCTGGCACAGCTGTCGGGAACACGGACGACTCTTCCTGCGGACCCAGGCTGGATTCCTGGGGACCCATGTGGCATCTCACAGCCACCTGTGGCCGCAGTTCTAGGGGCCCCAATGACTTCTTCTGACCTCCAATGGCATTAGGTACGCATGTGGTGCACGCACAAACATACAAGCAAAACACTCATGTCCATAAAATAACAACAGCTAAATCTAAGACCGGCATTGGTGGCACACGCCTTTAATCCCAGCACTCGGGGGGCAGAGGCAGGCGGATCTCTGTGAGTTCAAGGCCAGCCTGGTCTACAAGATCGAGTTCCAGAACAGCCCCCAAAACAATACAGAGAAACCCTGTCTCTAAAAACAAAAATAAAAAAAAAAATAAATAAATAAAACAGCTAAATCTAAAGAGCCTTAGACATGAACACACACTCGTGCAGAGTCCTCAGGCCCAACTGATGCTGAGCTCACAGAAGCAGAGTTAGAGGAAGCCATTAATTTCAATCAAAATTATAAATATGCCTGCCAGCACCGGACACACCCTTTGTTCTTGGCTGCTGTCTGTCTCATGACTGTAAGGTCCAGAGAGTTTTAAATCTAGCTGACCAGAGATGCTGTGTTAGTAACAGATTAGAGTCACCCCTTTCTTGCCCCATAAATCTATTTCCTAGGCTACAAAAGGAAATGAAACCAGGGAACATCGAAATTGTTGTGTCTGTGAATGTCAAGAAGCAAAGCATGAATTTAATTTTTGCTAAAACATTACAGCAGGGTGGAGAACGACCTAAGTAGAGGATTAGGCTGATAGCTGCTGCCTTTTAGTCCTGCTATAAGACTGAGAAGTGGGTATCCCTAAAATCCGTGTTATGGATGAGGAAATTGAGGCCTGGAGACATGAGAATTGCATCCTTGCTGTAATTCTAGCCTAGGTCCGTGTCTGAAGCCAGCCAGCTTGAAGTATCATTGCCTGTGGTTTATAATGCCTACCTTTTCTCTTTCTTCTTAATCAAGAATGTGAAACTTTAAACTACGGCCACACCTCTCTTGTTAATTAGATAGAAGCATGCAGTCACCTGCAGCCTCTTGCTCCATCCCTACCTGAATCCACTAAAACCCCAGTGGTCGCTTTGCAATGGCTTTTTTTTCCCCACAAGCTAATCAAAAGGATTTCACGACAGTGTTTAATATCACTTTGGCTGAAGGTGGAAAAATGAGACCATTTAGAGCTGGGACCAAATGCCATAGCCTGAGCTCTGCTATCCAGCCGGCACTGAAGCCCCATTGTTTAGCTTCTGTACCTACCCGGAATCTTTGGAGGCACTAGGAAATTATTGTTCCTATGGCCTTGGTCCAAAGAATGGGTTAGGAAGTTCTACTATCTGGGTAACCCTGCTGCTTGCCCTCAATATCTGTCCTGGTTTGCTCCTGTATATGTGTTTCCTTGAGGCTGTATCTTATTGCAGGTAATGCAGCTTTTTCCCAGGAGCCTCTGGCTGGGAAAACCTTTGCAGCCTCTCTGCTCGGAAGTCCATGGCTTCCACGGGATTCCTTTCTACCTGCCCAGTTGCTGTCTGCTAATCCCCTTTTAGAACCTGACTCTTGGTCACACATGCTTGCTGTGGATTTTGTTGTAGGGTTGGGAATTCCAGCCTACAGCAAGAGCCTCCTTCCACGCTCTCGGCTTCCCTAGCCCAACTCCTCTCAATGCATTTTTACTCAGAGCCAAAGCTTCAGGACAAAGAGTAACTTTTGTTTAAGACGAATTACTATTGGCTTTTCACCGGAAGTTACTAAGATTTGATAGTACAAGTTAAAAAGCTGCAAATGGTGGTTAATAAGAAGCACCTCAGTAGGAATCCTCTAAAATCAGCTAGCCTTTTCCTGATATCAGAGGGTACCACCCTCCTCGTCTCTGTGCTGCTTTCCATGTTTCTGCGATGCTTGTTTTCTTTTCAATTTCCCCGTTCTTCCCGCCTTTCCACTTAATTCTTTCAGAAGTTGTGCCTCTGTTTTATGTCAAGACGATAACTCCTAGTATCTATTATTTGTATTCAGTGGGATCATTTCTTTCCTCAGGTTTTTTTTTTAAGTTGAGCACAAGTACACTGTTATGTTCTGGAAGAATACAGCTGCAGTGCTGCAGTGTGGGGCATGGCAACTTTTTTTTTACAAACATAATTTACAAAATCGAAATGTTTTGCACAGAGAAGTGGATCTCTTATTGCCCCCGAAACAAACAAAATTTGAGTCTATAAATCGGTCTTACCACATTAAAAGGAAAGCCCATCATTTGCCCAGACACTAATCAAACACAGGCCCTGGGCTTAGCCCGGGGACCAGGTCTGTGAAACACACAACACAGTCTCATTCTCATCCTGTACTAATTTAAGTTATGAAAATTGAGGCTATATTTTCTTAAAACCTCCCCAAATTCCAGGTCGAGGTGTATAGCTTGCACTTCAGCCATGTGAACAGGCAGAAATGAAGCCTGTTGCAGTTTTTCTGGGGGAAGATGGATAGGCACCATGAAATAATAACAGCAACAACAAGAAAGACATCGTGCTGGTTGAATGTGACTGCAAGATTTGCCTCTTCTTCGTAGAACAGTAAATCTTATGAGCTACTGAAGTTTTATTTTCTCAGCTCCCCGTAATGACAACTGTCACTCTCAACCAACTGCTAACACGTTTGAGAATCAAGTTGTCTGAATATTATTATTATTTTTTTTGCAAACTTCCCTGGAGAGGAATGTCTTTTTGCTTTTATTTTTGATTTCAAGAAGCTGACATTATTTTTAGGCAAAGAATTCAGTAATGGGACTGAAGGATTGAGCTGCTAGGAGGACCCCCTTTCATTGGTTTTGGGTCAGTTGTGACTCTTAACTAAATGTGTCTCCCACCAGCCTCTGTCTCTTAGACCAACTTTTCCTTTCATGGTGGAAATACCATCCAAGTAATTTGACTGGAGAAATCAAATTTGAATGGAATGCCTTACAGGCTAGGGAACTCACTCAGCAAGAGATGATGGCAGGATAAGCTCAAATTTAAATTAATTCTCAGCTTTTCCCATACTAGCAGCTGACATCTACCTTGATCTGGACAAAACTGGTGTATTAAAATAGCTGTAGAGATATTTTCTTGGGCTTTCTGCCTGGCAGCAGGTAGAGATTTTAGATGCAGAAGAGCAGTCCATCTGCCCAATAGTCTTAATATGATAGAAAAGAATACTGGTATCATGCGCTGGTATTAAAATTGGTTTTCTTTTGTCCCCCAATAAATGTGTATCTCACAAAATTGCTACTGATCCATGGTCTCCATATCTTTCCCACTAGATTTGTGTTGATCCGGTGTAGGTGTTTATTTATATTGCATTAATGATATCTCCAGGTCAACCGATCAGAGTGTTTCAATCAGATTCCCCTGGGTGACAGGTGTAATAGTCCATCTTTCCACACTGGGATGAAAGACAATCGGGAAGGATGAAACTACCACAAACAGACAGACAGAAGGAAGGCCACGCTCACTTGCCTGTAGAGGACAGGTTCATCTCTTTGCCCTCATGAAGGGGATAACACCAGCAACACAAGAATAGTTGACTGTGTCCAGTGGCTCACACTCAGCATATTTAAACACTCATTATCACATTATCTGTTCTCTTCATCTGCTTTGTAAATGTCCTGGTAATATTTTGTATCAGGGGAATTTCCATGCAGATATCCCCAGCGAACAGAAAGGTAAAAGAAAGGGACATGGTTGACTACACAGGGGATTGTGGAGGATGGACGGACAAGACAGTAGAACACACTTCTTCTTAGGTGAACAGTTGTTTGCACCAACGTTTTAATTTGTCATCAGAACTTCAATGAAGTTAGTAGGGAAGGTAGTTAAACAAAGCGTTGGGTTAATTTCCATCATTACCAAGCACTTTACACCACTAATATTCCAAACATAAAAAGCTTGTCTGTCTTGTTTTTAGACAGGGAAAGGAAAGGACGGGGGTGGCACTTCAAAGACTGTAAATAGAAGAGCCAGTCAGTTAGAGATCCGCTTTAGTTCTTACTCTCTACGAGAGTAACCATTCCTGGCATGCCTTCAGTGAAATAACCCTTCACAGCTGCACTGCCACGGTAATGTAGATAAAGAGGAAGCTCTGTGAAGAGACTGAAAATGGGAACATGATACCTGATTCTGGCATGTCAAGACAGCAGAAGGGTTAATGGTGTGTGTTCGCTGTTGGGAGAGGGAATGAAGCAACCTGACAAATGAGCCAGGAAGGCATTGTTTTATGTGATCTCAAAGAATAAGCAGGTTCAAATCCCATGTCCGGCACACTCCGTGGCCTTGGCCAAGTCAACTAGCTTCTCTGAACCTCTATGTCTTTATGTATAATATATGTATGATGGCCCCCTTGACCTCACAGCATGGCTATGAAGATTCAAATTAGCCCAAATAAAGCAAAAAACACCTGGTGAGAGTTCTCTGGATGTCATAATCATCCACACATGGCAATGACTTCCAGGGTCCAGGATATGTTTAGTATGATAGGAAAGTTTCCCGAGAAACTCTGAATGTTTGCAGAAGAAGCAGGCATTGAATGCTTGCTGATAATACAGACCGATCTCCCCCAAGCAGGGTTGCAAGTATGTATGGCCCCACTGAACACTCCTGAAGTTCTGGACAACAGCAGACACACCTCATAGTATCCCTTTAAGATGATAATTTGTCTTTTCAGCTGTATTCAGTAGCAGCACCAGAAGGGAGTCAGGTGGGAATAGCAGCCCACTATTAAGTACAGCCACGAGGTTTACCAGTGCTCTACATGCTTTTGCTGCAAGGCACACTGAAACGGAGGAAGTTGCTTGAATGAGTTACTACAAGAATGGGAAGAGTAAAGACGAAGCAGCAGAAAAACCCACGGGGAGTGGCAGGCTCTGACCATTTTATTTAAGATGCACAGTAAGGACCAGCTAAAGGCACAGGAGGTAGGTCTTTGGAGACTTTCTTTAGGTTTACAAACAAACGCAAGCATCCATAAAAATACCTGCTTTTGAAACGACCCTGTGAAATGATGGCTCGGGATTCCAGGGGGAGTGCCTGCAAACCTATCCTATGCAGTAAACGCAAAGAGAATGCCTAGTGGGCCGCATTTTCTCAGTCCCCACAAGAGCCTGTTGGCCACTCTCTCTGTCTCCCCTTGGCTTGCCTGCTGCCAGAGTACCCATGGTATTATTCCTTTGTTCTGAGAGGGTACCCTTTAGTTTCACGCTAGTCTCAAGTTCACCCAGCTGGGCTATCCCACACACCTCCCTGCCTGTGCAGGGGCTCCTATCCAAATCCTTTTGGATGTAGAAGAGTCTCTCTTGACCAGGAGTGAGGAACCCCTTTCTTCCCCATAATACAGAATCTCAAAAAGAATACTCTCCAGTGACAATGACTGCCTAGGAGATATTTACAACTCAGTGTTTCAAAGAGTTTTAAAAGAAACTAATTACTGGGTGAGTAATAAGTCTAATTCCTCTCTTCTCACGGCAAAGGTTTTCTTTTTTTTATTACACACTGCAATAAATCATATTCCCCCCACACCCTTGCACAGGAGCTTTCATACCAATAGGACTAATAAAATTCCATGAAGCAGAACATATTTACCTGTTAAATTCTACATATAGTAACCTAACAAATGCCAGAGACAGAGAGATAGCCCTCTACACAGTAATACTTGTATCGACAGCTTCTTTAAGCTAACAATGACAGGGCTTCATGCCTTGTACTGCTGTCCTAAAAAAAACAGTGTATTTTTTTCAATAGAACATTTGGTGCCAAAAGGAAAAAGAAAAAGAAAGGCAGAGTTTTGACACTGGGATATTTTATGTGGATAATAAATTTCCCCCCACAAACTCTACTAACTATGAGTATCTACCTAGACGATGGAATTGGGGATTTATGACATTGGAATGATTGCCTATACCAGAAAACATTGTTTTTCTTCTTTTCAGGACTGTCAACTTTGTTTACTGTTTATGTTCCATTCTATCTCATACAAGGGAATAAATATCTCTGTGAGAGCCGTATGTCAAAATGCAAAATCATATTAACAAAGAGTGCCTTCAAAGACAGATGATATTATTAAGATTTGGGTTGCAACTGGAATGTTCTAATTATAATTTGTTCAAATTCAAAACATTTTCTTGAATTTGTAATTTCATGACATTTTACTGTGATTTACAGTAAAAATGACTAAGAGGTGATTAAAATATTATTACAAGTCACTTCAGGGGAGCACAGTTGCAGTAGTACAAGCCGAGGGATTGCTTTCAGAAGCAACACATATATTGTGCAATCTATTAGACTCTTCTACACATTTTTAACCCAAACCTAACCATTTGATTATTGACACCATTGTAAAAATAATGATCCCCAGTGGTGCTATACACACATCAGGGTTTAAGGAGCCTCTTTATATTAAACTTTTCTAAAATACAATTTAAATTTCAAAACAATACCTAACAGCACATCTAACAACGGTAAGTGAATCCTAACTAATTGCAATACTTCTGCATAGCCTAGTAAATTATGAAGAATAAATCTATTTGACAGGGCAGTTAGCAATAGGGTCTCCAGCTTGCTGCCATTGCAGCAGAATGAAGTAAGGTCTACTGTTTCCTTGCTGATGTTAAAAAATACATTTCAACAGTTAATTCTTCTTTTCAGGGAAAACGCTGCAAGAAGGTTGCAGGTTCAGGCAAACAATGCACAACCACCCTCCTCACGGGTGAATTTTACACTTGGCTGTAATTGGCCATGGTGCAGGAGAAGTTAAAACATCCAGAGAGCTTATTATTTTTTTAAGAGGGAAAACTTGATAGCGAATTGTATTTCTAGGCTAGAGAGCAGGCACTAATCTTCCTGCCGTTCCCAAACCGGAGCTGGCTACGTGAAAAATAAGCACCCGAATACCCAGCACTTAAACAATTGTGCCTACGCGGTTAAGTAACAAAAGCACGAGGCACCTGGAACCACGGCTTTTGCGCCCAATGCCAGAAACAATGTAAAGCATTCTTAGTGACATTTGACAATGAGCAGACAGTAGAGGCATTACAGGCATCTTTAGAAGAATCAGGCTTCCTACCTTGAAAAGACAGATGGAGGTAAGTTCCTTTATAAGAAAAAGTTGTAAGCAAAACCAGGCAGCAGTTGAAGTCAATTGAGTCCTTTCTGCCGCTGTATACACACAGCGGTTCTGCAATGAGGGGAGATAGGATGGGAGGAGCAGCTGTGAACGAGTGACCTCCTCAGGCTGAGTAGTCTCCGGGAACCTCACCCTGGCGACCACAGTCTCTGATTTGTATGGATTATCTCCACTTGGCCAGATCCACAGCAGATAGGTTTAAATGGAACTGGCACGATGATTGAAAAAGATGGAAGAGGGAATGAATGAGAGAGAGAGAGAGAGAGAGAGAGAGAGAGAGAGAGAGAGAGAGAGAGAGAGAGAGAGAGAGAGAGAGAGAGAGAGAGAAACAGACACGAGATCGCAGAGCGTGGATAAGCTGGGGCGTGCAGAATTGTGTCTCAGAAGAGCTACAGCTCCCTCTTCATGCCACAGTTGTAAGATAAGAAATGTCATTACGAGCTGGTTAATCACAGTGAGAAACAGACCCAGGTTAGTCCGAATGACACCTGCTCTGATTTCTGTGGACATTTTATGAATCTTATTTTTTTTGCCATAGAATTTTAGAAGTGTATACCAAAAATCTTTTATCAGACTCAGGTAAACAAATTTGGGTAAAGTACCGGGTTTGAGCAAGATCGGTGCTTTAATTCACATGGAGTAGATAACAAGGAAAGAACATAATTTGCTGAGAGAACCGACCCCTGGAAACTCTTGAAAGAGGTACTTGCATATATTGCAATGCAAATAGAAAGTGGTAATCTAATATTTATGAATAGTTGATAGTCTGGAAGGACTCAAATAAACTACTGAAAAGAGGTCGTTGTTTCTTTAAATCTTTTGAAGTCACCGTTTTCAGATTGATTTTTCCTGTGCTACAGATTTGTCGTTAATGCATAGTTATTATTTACTTCCCCATTTAGCATCTTTAGAGATTGTCTGGTTCTCATGTGAAATCTGAGGAAGGGAAGAGAAGGCATGATTTTTAACTTTTGCCAACAGCTGCCTGCTAAGCTCACAGAAGGTCTGGAGAGAATGGGGCTGTATTTGAGTTAATGTGAAGGCTGCCTTGTCTTTGCAGAGAGGTATCTGCAGATGCCTTAACAGCCACACAATTAGGCTGATTCTATGGAGAAGTCAGTCAAGCCAGCTGTTCAACCAAACTGATCACAGCTTTGCAGAAGCCGGTGTTGACTCGGTGTGAGCCAAGCGACACAGGTTGACATGTTATCATGCGAAACTCTCAACATGAAGCACACGAGAGGCATATGCAGAGTGAGGGGGAGCTCTCTCAGCAACCGCCCTGCCGCTGTGTGTAGCTCTGCCCCTTGTCAGGAAAGATGCAGAATCTGAAGACGTCCTACTCACAGGGAACTGACTAGGTGGGCAGGTGTGGCCCTTTAAAAGAAGCCATAAACAAAACTCTAGCACATTTCCATGAGATCGTTGGGAAGATCAGGGATTTCTGGAGTGGGCCAGACTCAGTAGCAGCAACAGTGTTTAGGAGACAATTGCTTGGAAGTAACCGGTGAAGACAACAGTTATTTTTCTGTCTGTGACATCCTGTAGTCTGATGGCTATTGGATGGGCTGGCTGCTTTCACTTGTCTCCCCTCCCTCCTTTCTCCCTAATATCAATTTGAACACAACTTGTGTACATGTCTGACTTGTAACATTATTGGGGTCTTAATATTGCTTCAGCCTGAAGCTCTTCAAGTCAGGGACTGAGCAGTTTCCTTAGTGACACTTCTCCAAATAGCCCCAAAGTGTCCTTTAGCTAGTTTACATATTTCATATATTTTTCAGAAAAGGTGTTGAATTTATTGGCCAGTCTTTTATACTTTCTATACCAATTATTCCTGTAAAATTTGGAGTCAGGAATCACGTCTTTTGTATCTTTATGAAAGAGAAAGAACTAGAGTACATGTGATGTAAGTGTCAGGTCATGCACAGGATGGAGAGACCAGGAGTAGTTGGGCTCAGCTGTGTGTTTTCATGAACCCATAATTAGATATTTATTCCTTGTATTAGGGATGTATTTCTGAAGGTGTTTAGGATCGTAGCTGTAACTTTCTGGTCACCAATAATGACTCTCTGAAAATTACTACCATTGTTGCTTCATGTTTGTAAAATAGGGTCAACAAAATGCCTTTATTATATGTCTTGCATAAGCAATAAAGACAAGGTACCTGGCAAACATTTAACCAGCAGAAACTGTTATTATAATTATTAGGGATCTCTTTCCATTGAGTTGAAAATGTCTGCCTCTGGGAAGTGTTAATATGGTGTCTACTGGATAGAGGAAGAAGATGATTTCTTTGTCTGTTCTTGGCTTTTGCTAGTATACAAGGGAGGCTCATTCCTGATCCCTGACAGCCAGAAGGAATGGTGTCTCTACCTTTTTACAACAGACAGAAATAGAAGCACGGTTCTCAGGAGAGCTGGAGAATGTTGTGGCAGCAGAGCCAGCCTTCTGCACAGGAACAGGAAATGGCTGCTGGGGTACGGCGTGAAGGGCACCCAGAAGCTCCCTGGTCTAGAAATATCTCCCCATCTGTCCCCTCCTGTTCCCAGAAATGCCACCATTAGGGGCTCATGCCTGTGTTTTACTGGCTTCCCATTCTCTTTTCCACTGCTCACACTACTGGCAGAGCTTGTACATTAGCACATTTACACTTGAGCGATACGTGAATTCACAGTAGTTTCGTTTATTCTATCAGAGGTAGTTTATCTAGCAAGTAGGTGAAGACCAGCATTCCCAAAGGCCAGACTTCAAGTCAGATGAAGAGAAAGCTTGTTTGATATGTGCAATACTGTGTAGCAATGAAGGTACAACGTGCATGGTGCTATTGTTGCGTTCCTTTTGTCTGGGTGTGTGTCATTTTTATGAGCAGTGATGTTGTGTGTGCACATGTGCCCGTGGGTGCACTTGTGTGTGAGTATATGCAGAAATCAGAGGACAGCTTCAGGTATCATTCCTAAGGCAATGTCCACCTTGTTATTTGAGATAGGGTCTTTCATTGGCCTAGGAGTTGCCAAACAGGTTGGATCAGCTGGCTAGCAAGTCTCTGGCATTTGCTTGTTTCTGCTTCCCCAAGTTTGGGTTTAAAGTGAAACCCACCATGACTGGGAGTGTGTGCGTGTGTGTGTGTGTGTGTGTGTGTGTGTGTGAGAGAGAGAGAGAGAGAGAGAGAGAGAGAGAGAGAGAGAGAATGGCATGTTACTTAATGTTTGTAAAGTAGGGGTAATAAAATGGTATAGAGAATAAAGACAAGTTACCTGGCAAACATTCAACCACTAGACTCTGTTGTTACAATTAATTTACACTCATACATGAGTAGGTATAGGCCATAGAGCACCTTGGGTTAGGAAATAGATGGAGCTGTGGACACCTGTCCTCCAAAATACATGTGCCCTTTATTGACTAAGCTATCTGCTAATATGTAGGAGAACCTTCAGTTCCCCATCAGAAAGTATGTAGAAATGTTGAGCCCTGAGCCACAAAGAGAAACAAGAATTACTTTATTTATTAATATCTTCTTTCCTTCCTTCCTTCCTTCCTTCCTTCCTTCCTTCCTCCATTCAACGAAAATGAGGACTGTTGGGTTAGACAAACCTAGGCTGCACACATAAAGAGTTACGGTGTTCATGGTCTCTTCTTACTCCTATGTATGTATCACATGAAGAAATTGATTCTAACATTAGAAAAACACACAAAGGGAAAGGGCGGAGAGGAAAAACTAGAAGTGTTGCTGGTGGGAGTAAGAAAGGCTCTACAGACAGGCTGTGGAGTGTCCTTGCAGTCACAGTAGACACTTCCCGGAGAAGAAAGAGAAGTTGTCAGTGGTATTTCAGAGTGAGAGATCACAGCTCCAGGGGCAGGGTAGCAGGACAGATGGTCAGGGACGGACACAAGTCACACATGCTCAGGGCTTCACGGAGGGCACTTCAGCAGGTGCACAGGGATGTGACAGGAAGAACTAAGGAACGGGACAAAGAAAGGAGACAGAAATCGAAGACTGCCTGCTCATTTGACCCTGCATGCCTCAAGCATGTGTCTTCAAACTCTCCAGGCTGCAAGCATGCATGTAAGTAAGTGTTTAAATGACAACAAATGCTGTCTCCAGTGAGAAAAAAAAAACAAACCAAAAAACCCCAAACAGTTAATTATGTCTTGGATTTCAGTCCTTATGAACTGAAATATTTTGGAGTTGTTTATGAAGTCTCCAGTTCCACTCTGTGCTCAAAGTACTCTGTGGTATATTCATATATGAATTAAAATTAATAGTGTTTGGAGACTTTGGATGTAGCAAATCAGGGCGGGCATTACTGCCAGAGTCCTGGAATTCATTTAGCATTGAAAAACTACAGCACTTTGAAATCCTTAGTGAGATAGATTACGAGCATAAATGCCATTAATACTAATGATGGTTAATAATTGGAAAATCATATTTATAAAAACAGCAATGATAACAGAGTCCAACTAGCCAGTATACCTCCCAATTCTAATCCAAAATGGCACATTAGAAGCTCCCTGTTCTCTTTTATTGCCTGAATCTTAGTTATTTTGACATATTTATCCAGAAATTATTGAAGTTTCTACACTTAACCTAAGGATGACAAATTGCTTCTTGTAAATATTACGCTTACAGTAAAATTCACAATAAGATAAATGATTACAGAGATATGGGACCCAGAAGTGGGAAATGTATTTGAATTATAATAAGGACTGGTTCAACTTCAAACCAATTAATAACTGTCATTTTCTCACAAACACAATGACAAGTAAAACCTCCAGAAAGAGCACCTGAACCACAGAAGACTTAAAAACTGTGCCGATTAACCCAACGACTGAATACATTAGGATTTTTCCAAGTTACCTTATGATAATGGTTCTTGCTAACAGCCCACCACCCTGTCATAATGGAGGCAGAAAGAGTGGTTTAGGGGCTGGACAGATGAACCAACAGTTAAGAGAACTTGTCGTTGTTGGAGAGGACTCATGTTTGATTCCCAGCACCCATATGACAGCTTCCAAACCATCTGAAACTACAGCTTCACTTCTCATATCTGTGGGCATCAAGTAGCCACATGGTGAATGTTCAGGCCACTGTAACATTGGGGTTTTGGAAAATGTCCTTTTTCTATTTGGTATAGGGCAGTTTTTTTTAACTTTGAATTTCTTCAGATCTACACTGTGGTCTGAGGTTTAGTTTGCCCAAGCCCTGCCTTCTTCTGTTATTTTACTTTCATGGAACTAATTAGTTCCTGGAAAAACCTATATTCCTCCACTCTATGTATTCTTATTGACTGCTTTCCAACTAATCCCAAGTTTTCCTTGAAAAACCAACTGTTCTTTCTACTTCCTTCACCAGACAAGAGCTGGGTAAAAACTCTTATAGATCCTCAGATACGCTTCTCACAATGCTTCTAATACCCAGATGTTCTTATTTTTGTAAAATAGTTTTGGGGGAGTAACAGGCTCTCCAGCAATTGTTCACACCGAATTGTTTCCCAGATCACTCCTGTGTTTCCACGTCTCTGGCGTGTTGAGTATGAAACATAGACAATGCTACCAAACACTGACTCGAGGAATGCAATAGACTCATTAGACTAACTGCAGCAGACAGCCTAGCAGCACAAACAACACGTTGACATACTTAGATCAATACGCCTCTGGAAGACGTTCAGGTTCAGTGCCCAAAGAGGCTCACATTAAGGAGGATTTGAAAGATGTAAGAGAATCTAAAAGGCGCTGGCTGGGAGGTAGTGTGAATTCCTTATGGTATATGGAGAAACAGAACAATGGATGGCGCTTCAAGAATGAAGTCATTAGTGAAAATGACTAGACACTGGGATTTTTGAATTTAATCCTTATCTCTTCCGAGAGGACACCCTATGCTTCATTGCAAAGGGATAATAAGGCACCGTTGCAGTCTGCTAGCAAAACACTGTAAGTTCTAAAGACAACAGCATTGTTTCACAATAAGGGTCCATCTTCAGTAATGAGTCCTTTGCATTTCGGTTCTGCTGTGGGACAATGAAAAAGAAAAGAAGCCTCTTGATACATTTTTTAGTTCCTGAAAGTCATTCCTAAGGAGATCCTAGTGACTTATGCAGGAAGATACTTTCCTGAACTCTGAGCTGAAAATACTACTGCGAGTATAGAGAGCACTTGCTGTCACTCTAGAAGTGTGTAATAGCTTAACCTGTAGAAACAGCAACTCCAAGGAAAACTATAATAGTTCCATGCTCCACAGTCGTGCAAATGAACATGCATTGCTTTGAAATACTATCTCAAACATTTACAATGTGTAAAAACTTGTCAAGTAATGGTTATATTGTCTAGCTCTAGCATCTGTTAATCTTAAAAACTGATCTTTCATTGGAATCAATACTTTACCTGAAGATACAAGTGATAGATTCCGAGTGTGATTCACTCAAAAGAAAGGAAGAGCATCCAGAGCACACTACACTTGCGTGCTGAGTTGTATTTTAGTTTGGCCTCCTTCCTTCCTTCCTTCCTTCCTTCCTTCCTTCCTTCCTTCCTTCCTTCCTTCCTTCCTTCCTTCCTTCCTTCCCTCCATCCCCCTCCCTCCCTCCCTCCCTCCCTCCCTCCCTCCTTCCTTCCCTCCCTCCCTCCCTCCTTCCCTCCCTTCCTCCCTCCCTGCCTCCCTCCCCCTCTCTCTCTTATTTCTTCCCTTATTTTCTCTTTTGAGATAGGAACTCACTATTATGTTGTCCAGGTTGGCTCTACATTCGAGTTCAAGGGTTCTTGCCACAACCTTCTAAGTAGGTAGGCCTGTATGTACCCTTCATGTACATACTTTCTTGTTATTTTTTTGGCATTGTACAATTTTTGCTTTACCCTCTATATTAGAAAGAATTATTGTTTAAAATATCCTTGTGGAAATTTGTTGTGGACATAGGTTGCGCCGTCATCTCAGTACCCGAGTTTCCTTACAGAAACAATGAAAGGATGGAAAGGCTTATATTGGCTCACAGTTCCAGAGGATGCTCACGGAGGTGGCAGCATCCACAATTCCGGAGGATGCTCACGGAGGTGGCAGCATCCACAGTTCCAGAGGATGCTCACGGAGGTGGCAGCATCCACAGTTCCGGAGGATGCTCACGGAGGTGGCAGCATCCACAGTTCCAGAGGATGCTCACGGAGGCGGGAGCATCCACAGTTCCAGAGGATGCTCACGGAGGCAGGAGCACAGGGCAGCGTATCTACCTCAATGGAGGCAAACCATAAACCAAGAAAACTATTGGCAGCCAGAGAAAATAGAACCTCCAGAGGATCTACTTCTGCAAGTGAGGACTTCCCTTTCAAATGCTCCAGAGCACCACAAGCATGGAACATTTAAGCGTGAACCTGTGGGTGACATTTCAAGTTCACCTCAAGAAATCTCACAAAGAAAGATTCACCATCTCACTCAAAAGAAATACAGCAGGCCGACGCCTCCTCCCTGTACTGGCCTGCAGGTCCTACTGAAGCCTCCTACCTCTGCCCTTAAGTCCCTGACATCACGCCCTGCAAACCCCTTTCTCTCTCCAGTTGGGCTTTTCTGGCTTTCCTATGCAGCAGTGAATAAAGGAAGCTGCTTTCTTGAGCCTTTGCTGTCTCTTTTCCCCTTTGCGTAGCATGCTCTTCCCATGAAATCAAATCTGCACAGACTTTTCAGTGTTTCTCCTAAAATACCTTTTGTACAATAAAGGCTTCCCTGATGACAACGTTTGGATTCCACCCATCATCCAACCTCTCCACTCCCTGGCCGGCTGTGCTCACCTTATTCTTTCTGCAGAGCTTATCTCTTTGACCTCATCTATATTCTGCCTAGCCGTTTGTCTCTCAAATGTCTTCCCAGACAGAATGTGAGCTCCATGAGAAAAAAAAAGATTTTACTTCCCTTTAATGTCTCAGGCCCAGCATTTAGGATAGATACCCAGTAAATAATTGCTCAATTTAATAAATGAGAAGTTTATGATTTAATGCAAGTATTTATATGGAGATCTAGATGCTCAATGCTTCCCATACTTCTGGGAAATGTTTCCAAATCTCTCTGAGTTCCCATTAGCTACTGACTAGAATCCATATTGCTAATTCTCTGGAGTAGAAGAGCATAGATGTTCTAATTTTATAGGACAATGACACTATTCTGTTATGGCAAGAAGATCACATACAATTTGTACTTAGAGGCCCCTTGGTTTTCACTTGTCACTTTTGATTTGACTTCACGGGAAGCTCCAGAACTCTGAGGGAAATAGTAATGAGGTAAGAGCAGACACGCCAACGACAGGTATGTGGTGTTCAGCCTGGACTTCTCAGAAGGACTGAAGGCAGCAGGATCAAAGAGTGTGTATCCGTGCATAGGCAGTGAGTTTCAGGTGAGGGGCAGAGAGCATGTGCACTTGCTGATTTCCTTTGATGAAATTTCAAAGAATTTAGGAGGTATTTTTACAGATTGGAAGTTCCAAGAATCCATTTTATGTGTATGTGTGGTGGCACCAACACACACAGATTTTTTCAGGAGTCTTGGCAGTCATGCTTCCTATATAGGAGACTCTGAACTTAAATGCCAGCATTCTATGCTTTTGCCAATGAAAACATATACATTTACCTATGTGTATGGTGTATGTATGCATGTGTTATTCGTTCCTCCATAACATATAAGCATATAAGATAATATAAAGCACTGTGTGACAGGTCTTTTTTTCACCATCTTTGGCCATCAGGGAACAAAACGCACAGAACAGAAAGCATCAGAAACTCCCATCACCACATCTGTGCTGTTTGGGCTGCAGTGATCTCACTTTCTTTATTCAGTTTCAGAGATGTCTGCACAACAACACATCTATCTGTTGCAAAGCAGAGGGAAGCTGAAACGGAAACACGGGCAAACAGCAGGAGCGCAAACGAGAGGCTGTTTTCAGACATGGGTCTAGCTCCACTGCACCGGCATCTGCCACGGCCAAGGAGGTTAGCGATGTTGTGGTATTTTAACTAGGGTTAGAGTTTGGGTTGGATGCAGACAAAAGTCCCCCAGCACACCGGGACTTCTCAAACATCTTGGTCTATAAAGTTACGCTGGGAACAGCATCCAAACAGGATTTCTGAAAATATTGTTGGGACTTGCTTCTTTGATTAAAGCTTGAGATTCAGCAAAGATAGCAAGGACAGCATTTCAAAAGATACTTTGGTTAAAAGCTGGTGTGAAGTCAGAAAAGTGTTTATGTATACTGCATTGCAGTAAAAAAAAAAAAAGCCTCACTAGTCTGTATCCAGGAGAAATCGAGTGAAGCTATTATTTATTTATTTTTCCAGGGCACGACTATAAGGAGCCAGAAATATATGATTAACCTTGGTAATGAAAGATAAAAAATGAACATGCATTTTAAAAGGAATTTTGGTAAATCTGGAAATTACTAATACGCAGAATATAATAAATTTAGTGGCAATGGAAATTTCAAAATTGGTGCCATTTGTCAGCCTTTGGCATTGTGTTCTCTTAGGGTTTGCAGTATAAACAGGGCGGGTAGGGTGCGCGCTCTTTTATAATTGTTTCACCTAGTAGGAAGTGATACACATTTATCTATGCGTGTGTCATTCTGGATGTGTATGTAGAATAACTGAGGATGTATGCATTTCAGATGAAAATCTTAGAAAAGCCTATTTCATTGATTTGACAAACGCACACAGAGCACTTGAATTGCTCAGGCTACAGTAAGAAAAACAGCACTCATGGAGTTTGTAGCAGAGAGTCTGATGGGGGAGGCAGATATTTATCTAAGTCATAAGCATTTGTCTATGCATCTATGGGACCCTATTTTATTATGGGTTGTAATGTGAAGGATAAGAATTAGGTACTACATATATGTGGCAATTGTGAAGCATGGTCTACTTGTGGAACTTTTAACCACGGGGGCAGGGGCTGCTCCTAATGCTTTTGTTGACTCTTGGGAGGGGCTTAGTTATATTGCAAATTGACATGCCATGATTTGTTGATACCCATGGGAAGCCTGCCTTTTTCTGAACAGAAACAGAGGAGGAGTTGGATTGGGGAGGGTTTTGAGGAGTGATGGAAGGAGGGAATTGGAGGGGAAACTGGTCGGGATGTAAAATAAATAGATTTAATTAATTGAAAAAATGGGAAAAACCGGTGGTGGTGGTGCACTCCTTTATTTCCAGCACTCTGCAGGCAGAGTTAGGAGGATGTTTGTGAGTTCCAGGCCAGCCTGGTCTACAAAGCTACACAAAGAAACCCTGTCTCAGAAAAACAAAACAAAAAAAGAAAGAAAGAAAAAAGAAAGAATCATTAGGTACTATGATATAAATTGGAAGAGGAACAGAGAATCTCATAGAGAGTGGTTACAAAAGATTCAAGATTTAAACAGAACACAGAAAGAAGAAATTTACTACCTGCTAGAAGTAGAAGCATCATGTATGACACCTTGGTGTGGGGAAACATTTGCCTTGCTCAGGAACAAAGAGAGGACTGGAGCAGCAAGAGGGGGAGAGTGGCAAGGACTGTGGTCAGAGAGGCCAGAAAGACAGGCTTCTCTGGGGCACAAGGCTTGCCTTCTGACTTTGTTTCTCCGTGTACACAGGAAGGATTTGTATATTGCTTCAGGACGAAGGTGGAGAAACGTCACACGATCTTTAGTTTGAGATTTTCCTTGGCTGCGGCAAAGGGTGGATCCAAGCACAGTGGAAGGAGATGAATCAAGGAGGCAGTCGCTGTTTTTACGGAGGAACAGTACTGGGGATGTTTGGGTTACCCTGGAAGCACGGAAAGCCAACCGGAATGAGAAATTTAAAACACGGCTAGAATATCTGTAGCTCGGTTGATTGGGTGCGTGAAGAAGGACTTGGCTTTGATTCCTAGCACTCCATAAGACAGGATTCAGTGATCTCAACACCTTGAGAGGAAGAGGCAGAAGGATCAAAATTTCAAGACCATCAAGATTCGTAGTTACTGCCAGGTCAGCGTAGGAAATGTGATTAACCGTGTAGGAAAATATGGTTTCAACTACACCAAAGCAAACATAAAAGCCCCCAAACTTGCAGATAGAAAAATATTAGGTACCTGCTAAGAGAAAAGGAGGACTCCAGAATGACTTCTAAACTTTGGGTATCACCAGTGCACCGTGTCTCTTTGTAGACTGGAAGGAAAGACGGTCTTCTAAACATCTGTGTTTGCAAGAAGCTGGACATCTCCACATAGAGACACAGCGACCTGAGGTTGATAGATATATAAAGTGAGTGCTCAGGGAAGACGTCCAGGCCAGGGCACAAATCAGGCAATTTAGTAAGTACCTCTTCTGCTGAACACCCTCAAAGGTTTTCCACTGCTGAGAATGCAGCTTGAGGTCTCTACAATGTCACTGAAAGCCTTCTCCCATCGTATCTTTCCCGTGTGGGCTTAGTGAAATGTGAAATGATTTCTCCAGGATTCTGATGTGAATGAAATGACATGTAAAACAGTAAGGACAAAGCAAGGTGTTGTGTTCTGTGTGCGAATCTTTCCCTTCCAGAACAGGGTACTCTCTGAGTGCTCATGCTGTTGTTACATTGGTATTAACTGAGTAGACTACAATGACTCCTGCTTCATTATGGTTACTTCCATTTACTAGAACAAACAGCCATCACGGACCAAATAGTTACTACTAGGGTCCTGATACCTTAAGCCTAGTCCCCAGAGCCCATAGTACTCGACACATGGTTAATAAACACAACCTCCTACATGCATATGAGGCTGAGAGAATAAGTTACACATTTGTGCATGGGCGACCCTATAAATCAATGGAGCTAAACTTTCGGCTATTATTGAACAGGAGCTGAGGTGTTCACAACAGAGCAAGCTAAACATCCCAATGTGATGCGAATCATCTCAGAAGAGATGAATTGAGGTGTCTAGCAGGTCCTGTGTTTTGGCAGTAGTGAATTTGAGTTCGTCTACCTTGAAAGCAAGGAAGGGGTGGAAATCAGGGGCTACAGTAGGAAGAAGAAATGGGAAACCACTTTCCTCCCATGTCATTACCAAAACAAACGGGCACTATTTTCTTTCCGCTTCTAGCATACTTGGGCTTCTCCTTGGAGATCGCTTTCCCTCTTGAAGGCTGTCTTGGAAGTGGAGCTTCAACTGATTTTTATTTCTGTTAGCAATAACTCTTGGAGTCGGGGAGTACATTTCATGATGTGTTGTGGCTGGGCACCTCATTCCCCGGGGGAATAACGTCGCCTACACATGAAACCTGTTTCAATTCTGCCTGGCTCTTCAAGAGAAATTGTGATTATTTCTAGAACCAACGTGGTTCCTCGTTAGGTCCAAGATCTCTGAGGCTTGTTGTTTCTTGGGTGTAAACTATTCTGAACAGCGCGGAAAGTCCAGAAGACTCAGAGGTCTTAGGATGGCCTTGCCATTCAAAATGCGAGCCTGGCCTAGTCGGGGGAAACCTAGTGTATCACGAGGGAAAAAGACACGAACAGAGCAGCTTAAGCTTATGCTTCCAGAGTGTTTTCTGGTGGTATTGAAAAGGAGCAGTTGTGAGAGCTTGGGCTGTAGACTCAAGTGCTGCCAGGGGCCAAAAAGGTGAAGTGACCAGGAGAAGCTGGCCAGGCGCTAGACAATAGAGCAGTGCAGCCAGCCATGGCAACTGCACAGTGTCACATGCCCTGTTTAACCTAAAACCATGCACAGTAATTAGTAAACAAACCACACAAGTGAGCTTCCAGGGATGAACAACAGATGCTGTTACTGTTCACTTACAGAACTTCAAGGTCTCATCTTCTCCACACAGCATTGTGTAGAGCTTTCCATCGGTTGCAGGGCTCTGCTTGACCTGGGACGTCCCTGATCATGCCTCGGATCAACACCTCCTGTTCCCAGCCAGGGTAAAGTCTCAGAACCTGCTAATTTTGATCTCAGGCCTTGGTTCTTATTGCGTCTTCTCTCTGGAATAAGCTTCCTTCAGAGTGAATGTGTACTCTATCAGTTTGTCCCAGTGTCTGTATAAGGGGATCCTTGTTAAAAGTGTTATGCTGCTTTTTTTTCTTTATCCAACTTTCCACTCACTCTATCCCATCTTATCTTTTGGTGTATGTATGAGGGTATGTGTGTGGTTGTGCATGTTATATAAGAAAAAGAAATCTGTTTAGTACCCATCAGGGATGCCAATGGACTTCAAGTAGCCAGTAGTTACATTATTTCCTACTAAACACAGTCGGTTGAACTACTTTTCTTTGAATCTGCATGCATTCTTGGGCATATTTTCTTATATTCCAGGCCACCTTCTTTAAATAACACAACATCATTTCAGAAAATATGTAGCTCTGTCTCCTGAACTGCCAGTCTAGGTCTGACTGAAGGGAGTAAGCCACAATATGGAGCAGATGTGGCTAACTGTCCTTACTTGCCTGATCTTGCCACATCCTACCTCTTTGTGGTTCCTCACTCAGCATTGTCCTGTTCTGTCTCTGGCTCTCCAGGGGCCAATGTAAACTGGAGGATATTTTCACCGGGTATGGCTGGTGCTCAGTATTAACTAGTAATTTCATGGAGACATTTTATGGATTCTGCAGAAATCCGCCATTTTGGGGAGACTCTTACTGGACTAATGAGTTCTGAACGCAGCCTCGCAGAGTTGTAGACGTTCAGTCCTCCCTACAACCCCTTTTGTAACTTTCTTAAATTGAATAGAGATTGGCTGCCATCTCTGGGGCAAATTAGTGCAGCAGAACCACCCTTAATTCTTACCCTTTGCTGCCTTCCTTCTCCTCATCCACCTTCAGCAAGACAACATCCATCCGTCTCCAAAGAGACCAACCCCCTTCCTACTCTGCTGAACTTCCTCTCTCCTTTAGACTTCTTGGGTCTTATCTCAAACTATGGGGGACAAGGGTCAGGCCCATCAAGGTGTCTGGGAGTTCTTTCATTTGGTTGCATCTACACCCACCTCTATGAAGCCCTGTTTCTAGAAATCTCTTGACTTACGTATGTTTCAGAGCATAGTTACTAATCAGTTTCACATCCTTTCCAAATGTTCTGCATGCATCATTTAACACCTTCTGCAAAACTGATTAAATCTCTATGAGAAAGAGAGTGCCATTACATCACAAACATATTTCATGTATAATTTATATATTTATATAACATTAAAAAGGTGGTATTTTTCATTTCTTTTGTGACTAAACCTCTGTAACTCAGAAATGCAAACTGGCTCCTCCACTCTTTAAAAATGTACTGTTGGAATAAAAAACAATCATGTAAAATATAAATGTATATGTGTTTAAATGCATACATTTTATTTAAAAGTGTTCAATATATAGATTTGAGTTATTTAGCATGAAGAATGCTCAATGTCTGTTAATATATTTGAAATTCCATTATAGTAAGGGCATTATTCTAAGAGTAAAATACAGCTGCATGAGTTTCAGGCAATCAAGACAAGATTATCTGAAAATCTTTTCAACAATTTGTCTGTAATGACACAGAACTTGGGAAAAGTATCAAAGAGAATAAAGGAGTCTTTATATGTTTTGAAATAAATAACCTTTTCTTCCCACCCCCTTTAAAAACAAAAAGAAACAATTTTAAGGAGAATGGTGATGGAGCATTGTGAGCATAATTGAAAACACAGAGAAACTATTTTTGTGCTTTATTATACAGTCTAAATTGCTGCTCCAGTATTCTAGATCTGCTTAAATAGTTAACGACTGCCAAACAAAACAGTAGCCAGCTCTCTGGAAAAGAAACACCAATTGTATTGTCTACTTGAGGAAACTGAAACAAACAAATGTTGACGAATGTCTATCAACATGGATACCCTATCTGCTATGAGTCACACCTGAACGGATAGGGCCACAGGAGACTTAGAGCTTCAGAGAGCTAACGTTTGAATTCATCAACTTAGCAAAAAATGTTAAACTCTCACCTTCAAGTAAAAGCTTAGAACAATAAAATCTAGGGATACAGAACATTCAAAAACTAAAAGCTCTAAAAAGGATATGGTTTTATTTTCTTTGAAGGTTGGTTTTATATAAGACATCTACATTTTGTTTTTTTTAGAAATCAGGCTGTGTGAGTCATCCAAACGTTGTTTATCCATCCCTGTTTCATTCAGGGCCATGAGAAGAGAGGGTCAGGGACAGACTTGTCTCTGTCTTACCCTTAGAATTTAACAGTTTAACTACCCACTGAAGTGGAGGGAAAGGACTAGCTCTACTCTTCACAAATGAAAGTCACTTAGAGGTTGAATCACTGTGATGAGTAAAGGCACCAGTGGCCAAATTATCTGAAGCGGCTTGAAAATCTCACAAGGAAAGTATATATGGAAGGAAATGTATATATATTTATGAAGGTTTGACCATTATTTTCTCTCCTTGTTTTCTTTCTCTCTTTTTCTTCCTTTCTCCTCGTGTGTGTGTGTGCATGTGTGTGCGTGTGTGTGTGTGTGTGTGTGTGTGTGTGTGTACAGTGCTAGATGTCTGTGTTCATGTATGCACAGTGGCTACAGAACTCAGGTATCATTTCTCAGGTGCTGTCACATTTCTTTTCTTTTCTTTTTTTCTTCTCAACACAAGGTTTCTTAATGGTCTGCGACTCATCACCAGTTCAGGGGGCCATGCTTGCGTTTTTTGATGTGAGGGGGTCTAAGGATTGAACCCACAACTTCCTGTTGCAAAGCAAGCAATTCACAGACTGAACAATATCCATAGCTCAATTAGTTTTAATAAATAATTCATATATGAATTAATCTCGAGTCCTTATTATAAGTTGAAAAGGAACACATTAGTAGAAAACTCAAATTTCATATTTATTTATAGTCATTAGGTGTTTATGCATTTATGCAGCAAGGCATTAGGTCAAAACTCCCACTCACGGTAAGTGATCAAACATGGAAGGTAGTGTTGACAGATGTCCCTTTTGCTTTAAGCATCTTTCAGGTAATGTTTGTCCTATACACTCATCTGGAGACATATGGTGGAGGAAGATGAGGGTCCTGATCATCCTCCAGACCTGTAGATACAGAGCTCTGAAGTTAGGAGAAAGGAATTTCTCAGTTGTGGGGAGGCCACCCTACTTCTCTTGTCTTATTCCTTATTTTCTCCTGTCACAGTTTCCCAGCTCTTTATTCATTAGTCAATAATAGTCTAGTAGTTCATGAACCTGGGATAAGTCCTGCTCCCACTGATAGACTTTGTTGACTCCCCAAGGAAGACCTTACCCCTCTGAAGAGTGGATGGGGGATGGGATGTTGGGGATAGGGGAAGTGGAGGGATGGGGAACTGGGGTTGGTATGTAAAATTAAAATAATTTTTTAATTAAAAAAGAAGTGAAAAAATATAGTACAGTAGAACTAAGCTTTAGTTCTGTTTTTATTTTATATCTATATCCTGGAGAAGGGATTTAGTTTATTTCTCCAAATTTAGAGTTTCCATCAGTTATACAGGAATTAAATAAATATCACTAGCAAGGTAATACCAAGGAGAGATGTATTAATCATTTTTCTCATTGCTGTAATGAAATACTTGACAAAAAACCAACTTAATGAGGAAGTATTAACTTTAATTTGTAGTTTGAGATGATGCATTTCATCATAGTAGGGAACACATTCCATTTGGGTCAGTGGGAGCTTGCTGTTGCCACTTGTAAATGGTATTTACTAGGAAGCAGATAGTTCATACAGGTACTCAGGACAGCTCTACCTGTCCTGTTCTGCCCTCCATCCCTATGTGTGCCATGTAGGTCCCCATGTCCAGAAGGTTCCTAAAAGCATTCAAACACACAAGCTAGTAGGAATTGTTCATTAAAAACATGACAATGGGCAAAATCTAACCAAGAGTACTCAACGTTTTAGCCATTTTGACACTTCACACTCTATCATTAACCTACCTGTGAAAATAGGTCTCAGATTTGCACAGGTAACTCACTTAATCCCTTAGATTTTGAATTCCTAATTTTAGAAGAGGAATTTGTTGGTCTACCTCAGGAATACTGAGTCACTCCTTACCTCAGGAATACTGAGTGACTCTCGTGCCTGTAGACTTCCTGTATTTCCATCAGGTGTTTAGTCTGGGTTAAGTATGTAGTCTCTGGGAAAACCAGAAAACATAGAGTCCGTCTATTGCTCACAAAGCACAGGCATGGAGAGTCAGTTTCCTATGGATGTATGCACAGGTACTGAAGGTACAGGTGGAAGTTAGTGTAGTAAACCTTGGGTACACATTTTATGGATCTAATGTGAATTTGAGATTAGTACTGACACACTGGTAATTTGGGCCTCTACTTCTATCTTAAGGCTTCACTTAATTTCCAGCATTTTGTCACTGACTAAAGGTTTTGAACACATTGGAACTGGTCCCTGTGATGATACGAGTCATGTAGTCTCTAGTCTGTATCTAAACATGAGGAATAGTGTGTTGTCAACATGACTGAGTTGGTCAGTGTTGTTTGTCACAGCAGGTCCCCACAATCAATCCAGAAGTGCCCCAGTCCTTCTGCAATCAGGATTGATTACTATGACAGCCAGCTGCGGCTCATCTATTTCATTGCAGATGGCCACGGTCTTTGAGCCCATTGAGAAAAGTAATTTGTCACCAGAACCTCAAATGCTGCATTCTCTGTATTTTACTTTCAAAGGCACGGGGAGGGTAAATGGACACACAGAAGTGAATGCAGATTGTTGCAACCCATTTGAGTATATTCTGTGAGACAAGTGCTCAAGAAGAGTTGCTGGCTCCAAATTCTAAAGAAATTCCCCCAAGTTCCGTTGGACACCCTTTCTGGTCCTTGCTTGTAAACACGTGACTTATGTCTGGGCTCACAGCTTAAGAAGCCTGTGTGACTCCCTATGACAAATGTATCACTCCAGTCATACTAATGTAATATAGAAATATACCAGGCTTCTAACAAATGGTTTTTATTGTTGTAGTTATTGCTTCCCAATGTTGATAAGAATTTATGCTTCCATGCAAAATGACTTTATTCATTTCAATAATAAAGGAAGAAATAGATGAAATGGAAGTTTGATTTAAAAGTCTGTTTTGCTGAAGATAAGCTGGTGAAAGGACATTTGTTGACGCTATTAAGGACCATGTTGTCAGAGCTCCCTGCTAATTTGAACTCTATCAAAGGAGCACACACATGTGCACCCATTTTTCAGTATATATCAGAAAACATGAACAATTGAAGTGCTTTTGTGTCCCAGATTCTCATTAACTACAACTCAAATGCTGGTCCTGGGTTTTCAGGATTGGGCCAGGTTTAGTTTAGCAAAATGAATTAAAGCAATAATGGATCAAATAAAACTATCTATCAGAAAATCCACACAAGCTGAGTCTTTTTTAAAAAATAACTTTCAGGAAGATAATGGACTTCTTAGACTCCTTTAAGTACGTTCTTTAACAATTTTTATGAGTATGTTATTTTGGTCATTCTAAGAACTGATCTTCACCACACAAAGGAAGTGAGTATGGTAATTTCTCTAATGAACTCCACAAGAATGAAAAGGAAGAATTCAGAAAATCTTTAATTAATTGCTGCTGCTAAATTGTGAAAAAAAGAAAATAGAGAAGACAATAAATGCTGATAAACTTTCAAGAAATAAGCCTAATCCAAGGCCAGCATGCCGTTGGATGGTTTGTAAATGATACAGAAGGCACAAGTCACAGTGATTGGTCACATTGTGTATGTTGGATGATGCTAACCTTTCTGTGTTTTGATTTAATGGAAAAGGCATTGTGAGTTTGGAATTTGTGTATGAGCTAGAATGTGAACTCAAGGAAAGACTGAGCAATTATGTGGTTAGACAACCTTGGATTCTGAGTTCTACAAACACGATCAGACTTCAGAGGGCCAGAGGCTTGTTTTATTGCTATGTCCTTCACCTGGAAGAAAAGGAAGTGGTTATGTTCATCAGAAACTTGTATTGGATGGCAGAACAACAAAGATCAATAGGTTAATATTTATAAACCACAATTCAGGTGATTTAAAGTCTACAGATGCATAAAATAAACATTATGCAAATGATGGCCTATTGATCATAAAAAAATTACTTTGCTCCAGGGTAACACCTTCCATTTGTTCTCTAAGATATATTCATGTTAGTCTCTAATAGATATTAAGTCATAGTGCTAATTACCATGTAATGACCTTAAGACTGATGCAGAAGGCAAAGACCTCAGTATACTTTCTGGAGGGATTATGATTTTTCATTATTACCAAAGCTTTGCACATCAGGCATAGGAAAGAAGAAAACTACCAGCGATGCTC